AAGTGGTTTAATGGCTATGACACCCTATAAGATATTACAAATTAAAAATAAATTTTACTATAAATATTCAATGATACTTTGAAATTACTTCCTTACATTTCCATAAAGAGTAGTTAATCTACAAAGCCCTTGAGCAACTTGTAGAACTAGTGAGAAACAAAAGTTATTTCGAGATTTTAAAAATATTGAAAATTTGATAAAATAAAACCCAAAAATTACACTTATCAGGTACCAATCGAATATGACGCGCGTCAAATACTGTCAGGAACTGGAGAATGTATTGAATTAAACGCGCAACATTTGGTCTATCTGCTTGACAACGCGCGGCACTGTTATACGTAAATTAAGCGTTTTGTGAGCTTTCCGAAGGATTAAACGTGAATTTGTTGAAACCAAAACTTACAGAAAGTAAGTGTAGGGTAAGCTACAAAAGTTTGGATCCAAAACATCCAATGGATCTCTATTGTCACTGGTACCCTGCAAATAGAATTGCTGTGGGATTTGTTTTAAAATTGGGGCCAAATGTTTAGTTATTGTTTCATATTCACTGTTCACAGAAATGAACTGGATAAGTTCGTCAACATTTGCAGGAAGGTTTTGATTAGGCATTTTACTTATAACTGAAATTTTACAGTAAGGTGGTTTTAAAATTTTCTAATTAGCCAATTATTATACTGGATATCAGGTCAATTGACTAACCTGACCCACATGATAACAAAAAAAAAAATTTCGCATAGAGTACATAATAAAGAGTTTAAGAGATATCATCATTTATTTAACTTGAATTTTATAGATATTATATTAATATTTAGCTTTTTGGACACACCCCTCACTCTACAAATTTAAAGTTTCGATTAAATAAAGGGAACCTTGAAGTTAAGGAAACGGAGCATCTTTGATACAATAACGACCTAAATATTATCAGTCTGAGTCGTCTGGTATTGGGCAGAGTGGAAACAAGATTTCAAGGTAAGAGTATCCATTATTTGGTAAACGGTGTGTCAGTGTGTAGGTCGACTACCTTTTTGGTTTCGTACTGGAAGTGGGAAAGGTTTCGTACTTGTTGAGGAGAGGCCTGTACTACCATGCTGGTTTCGTACTGGCAGTGGGAAAGGTTTCGTACTTGTTGGCGAGCACACCATAAATTGCGGTGTGTTAGTATGCAAATTATTTGCATCGTCACCGACTACCATGCTGGTTTCGTACTTGCAGTGGGAAAGGTTTCGTACTTGTTGGTGAGCACACCGTAATGATTTGCTAACATAATTCTAAAAGCGAACGATTTTGGAGATTAAGTTACTTGAAGCAAAGAACAAGTTACTTATGAAGGAGCAAGTAAAGTTATCTTGTGATATTTTGAGTTTAGTGGCTGTTTTTGATAATAACTTGCAAACAATTCTAGATTTGCCTTGAACAGGTTAATATGTTTACTTTCTTATTAAACCCGATCTTGATGTTAGCATACTGAAAGTTATTTTAAAAACTATTTTTTACATTATTATTTTATTATTTTTTTAAATTTTGCGAATAAATTTATGCTAGAGATATTTTTATAAATGAATAGTATATAAATATAAAGTTTATATGAATTTTGAATTTTTAAAATTTATTAATAAATTTCATTTTATAATTTTTAATAAATAAAATCTTATTGAACTTCTATTTTTAATATTTTTGTATTCTTCTCTTTCGCTTCTATTGCAAAATTTTTTATTCTCATCTTTTCGTTTAGTTCAGTAGTTCCAATTATTTTTCTTACTTCAAACAAAATATAAAAAGTAGATACGTATTAGTCCGGAGCGTAACGAAGGACTATATAATTCTATGCTGTTTGACTCAAGATGTCCGCTTTCCCCTCGCTCAATTACACTTGTGCTCCGGGCTTAACAATTCCGAAACCGTTCCTTAGTAATGTAGAAATAAAAAACTTGATTTTGAAAGCAAGATTCTAAAATGAAATACTTGATAAGATATAGTTAAATTCATTGACCATTTAGGAATGATAGGCAAAATACATAAAAGTGATTTCAATAGGGCTTGTATTAAAATTTTGGCAAAACACCTTGGCGTGTCATTACTCAACAAAGGCGCAGTCAAATTTAAAATATATAAAGAATATGTTCCAATTGTAATTTTAGTAATAATAATAATAATAATCAACCCAAAATGCCAGGACCACCACCACCACCTCCACCGCCATCAGCAGCAACTTCTTCCAAACCTCCTTCAGCAGGCAGAAATGCCTTGCTTGACGACATTCAAAAAGGAAAAAGGTTGAAAAAAGCGATTACAAACGATCGATCTTCTCCTATTATAGAGGGTTAAGTATTTTAAGATTTCCTTATTCAATTATAAAGATGTCACTCGGCTCTTTATTAAACTTTGACAAACTGTTCAAATTCGAAAATGCAAGTATTTATTTATGACATTTATTGGAAAAGTTGGTTATAATACGAATGATTACTTGCATCTCAATTTTATTCATTTTTTTTTTTATGCTTAAATTAAAACGATTTATATTTTTGATTAATTATATAGGGAAAGTATCGGTTAGTTCATCAAATAAAGGTCGAGCTCGTTCGTCAAGTACGTCTGGAGGGTCTGGCGGAAAAACTGTTGCAACGCCTCCTGTTCTAGGTGGTTTATTTGCGAGTGGTATGCCAAAATTGAAGAGTCGTGGTGGCATTGATACTGGAAGAGATAATAATAGTATGCAATTTCGATTTCGATTTCGATTTCATACTGTATGTTGCAACCAGATGAAATATTCAATTTTTAAAAATTTTTAATATCATTTTTATTTTTACTAGATCTTGCAGCACCACCTCCTTTACCCGGTGGCCGTCCAAGAGCCCCAAGTGATGGAAAACAAGTATCTGTCGCAGTACCTACAGTACCGCAATCAAAAGGTGAAGCCCAGCTTCCATTTAGAAACACGATACAAAAAAGCATTGGTAAAACTATAAATTCAGAAACAACATCACCTTCTCTGCCAAATCGAACACCACCATTGCCTACACGCGCAAAAACGAATGCGGTACCACCACAATTACCAAATCGTACACCAACATCCAATTCAACTTCTTCGCTTCCGCCTTTACCTTCACGGAACACAAAAAGTGCTACGCCTCCATTACCCTCTGTAAAAAAAGTACCACCACCAACACCGAATAAACCATCATCACTTGCAAGTAATAAATCGGCACCACCACGACCCGTGTCTACCATGCAACAATCACAATCGCCTTCACTTCAACCACCTCATCCACCTCGTGCTCGTTCTCCTGGATTTGTTAAATGTACGTAATTTTGATAATAATTGCCGTCATATTCTCATATTTTCTTCATTAATATTTTCTCCTCTTCAATAAATTGATTAGCTATACCATCACAAAAAGAACCACCAACTACAGAAGGACGGTGGACATTTCATTCTTCGTCTGAATTTCCAACCCCGCGGCCTTTTATAAAATTAATTAGAGAATATCCTTCTGGAGCTTCAAGTGGAAGTTGTATGTATTAAATAGTATATATTTTTATTTTAAGAACACATTATTAATATTTATATTTATATTACCGGTAGCGATTTCGCTGGATTTGTCATCTTTGACGCTACAAGGTACTCCACAACGTGCGCCGCCCCCTCCACCATTGGTAAGAACTAATGGGAGGCGGTAATTACAATGTTTCTCTGTTGCTCTTGACATTATAGGAACTATTAATTAACAAATACAATGCTTTATGAGAGATAACGATGGACTGAATACATGATGTACAATTTGGGTTTCTTCAAATTTTCATATAACGAAGATACTCACAAATCTTGTTATAAACTTATGCTGATTTTTTATTTATTTACCCTTATAATAAAAAAATGTATTTCTTCCAAAATTGCTTTACTTTTTAAGCTCAATGTATTTTAAAACTTCCTTCATCTTCAGCTTTCAACTTTACTAAATCTGATCGCAACTTCATGAATTATCATCAATTTTACTAGTTAATTCTTAATTTGAAAATTTATATTTATTATCACTTAAATATAGAATAATTAGAATATGTAACTGATCGCCGATCAGCTCATGTCAGTAATTTATCATTTGATAAAGAATAAGAACATATTTGACTTTCTAGACCTTTCGGTTTCTTCAATTTACTCTTGATGTACTGTAGTCGCAATGTAAAAATTTGATTATAGAGAGTTCTTCGATCTATCATATTTATAGTTTAATATGATTTACATTATAAAAGAAAATCATATAATATCGGGATATGAATAAATTTTAATTTAATCTTATTTTTTTAATTATTAAATTTTTTCAACCTTGGTATTAAATAATAAATCAATTCTATTAATTATATCAAAATTATAACTTCTAAATTTAAATTTTATATATTTATATGATTAATTTAATTAGTTTACATTTCTTAGTTCATTTATAATTATTTGTTATATTTTATCTTATTTTTATCTTAATATACATGCTATTGGTTATAAAGTAATGATCTTATAATAGACATTCCTATAAAAATAAAATAATAGATAAAGGTCCATTACTTGTAGCAAAATCCGTTAGTTTTCTTAAGATAAGAAAAGTTATAATTAACAATTACATGTTGAAAATTATAAAATAACAACTTACTAAATATTTTTTTTCTAATAGTAATAAAGAAATTTAAGATCATAATAAGATTATAATTTATTTAATACTACTAGTATTTAATATAGTTTATTTTTAATATAAAATTCATATCCCTTAAACTGTAGAGCAGGCAAATTTGCCTGTGAACATATAAAAAAAGTATTAATTTTTTAATAAAAAATAA